GTTAGCCCTTGCTTTTCTGAAGAATGAGCAGGAACATTGTTATGATGGAAAAAAATACTTTGATGGACTTTTACCTCAGCAATGCAGTTTTCTTAAAAATTCTTCCTATTAAGCCCCCTTGACCAGCATGTGTCCTTCAAGAAACTCTATTGTTTACTACCCCATTAGAATCCCAAAATACAGTCTCCATAACCTTCTGAATTGTCCTCTCTGCCTTGAATTTAGCTGGCCCAGTAGATTCACTTGGAAGGCACTGGTATTTTTCTTAGGTTTGATTTTGTTAGTGTTGTTATTAGATTGTTTATCAATTTAACAGATATACAAATCACATAGCATACATTTCAGTAGTTTGATTGAGTTCATAAGAGTTGTGGAACAGTCAACATCATCTTTTCCAGGACATGTCTTCATCCTTGTTGTACTCATTAGCTCATTTCCTTCCAGCATCCCCTGTCATGTCCCTTTTGATCCAGTGGTTATCTATAGGTTTACCTATATAGGTTTCATATACAGAAAATCCTACAAAATTAAGACAACACAGACTGTCCAACAATGACACAGTGAAACAAAGAAAAACTTCAATAAGAAAGCAGAAAAATGAAATATTGCATCAAGTATACACTGAGTCAAGAGGGAGCTCAATGACATGATGTTGCATCCTGACTTAGCTACAATTGCAGCCGTCCATCTTGCAATGTACTCTGTCTTGTAACAAGGTCTTTCCTCTCTCTTGACCGTAGTCACAGAGGGTTCATCAGAGGCTTAATCCACACGGAGGACGCTGCAAACTGGTGTGGGGCCTTCATTGTCACCCGCTGCTTTCTGTAAACTGGAAGCCATGGTTTTGATTGTGCTTTGCACTCTGGATTGTATTGGTAAATTCAAGACTTATTCCATTATGATTTGTTTTATAAAATTGCCTTCATTAGCTTCTATCTTGCTTAAAATACTGATGGAACTTGGAGCTAGCTGGTCTTCATGTAATGCTTTTATCACCCATCTAGCTGAAAGCTTGCTGGAGCCAAAGTGTTTTTTTTTTCCTTAAAATTGAAAATGCCAAAATGCTGACCCCTGCGAGACGTCCACTTTAGTAGTTAACACATGCTTCTATGGCCTTTTCCCCCTTTACAACTATTTTCAGGACTTCAGCAACAGTTTTTTTTTTTTTAAGTTGCCCAAATTCATGCTCTTCCCTCTCTTGGCTCACTTTTGAGGTCTTCCTGACCTTCCTTAAAATGCCTGATTCATCTAAAATTAGTTGTTTATGTGTGGCAGCATTTAGAAACTTATGACAAAGCTTCAGTGGTTTGGGAAAATTTCTGCTTGAGTTTTGTTAAAATTTCATATTAGTCTGATCTCAAAAAATTTTTTTGATGGCACACAAAACAAAGTGTGTGTGTATATATGTATATATATATACATGTATGTACATGTATGTATATATTTGTAGACAACCCAACAAGGGTAAGCCAAGTGTATTACTGAGAGAACTGGTCCACAGCCATCCGCTGAACACAGAGACATCGGTAAACATCTCTTGTTTAGAGTAAACCTGTGCATGTATGAACTGGAATTTTAGAAGCAATGCTTTTTAGCTTATCCTTATTCACACACATCTTAAGAACCTGTGTTTCTAAGGGAAAATTCAATATGGAAATTTTGGAGGAAAATTTTTATACATACTGATAAATCCAGACAAGGGAGCTTCAAAACATTTGGGGGGAGAATTCCATTATCTTTTAATTCCAGTTTTTACAAATGTTTTAGAAGCCCCTTTGTCTACTTTGTTGCTTGCAGCTAGCACATCTACTGTTTATCAAGACTGTATTGCTTTGTAAGATAATGTTTTGGGAGATGTGTACATAATTTATGTAGACTTTTTGCATTGCAAGAGCACATACTTCATTTATTTAAAATTTGGGTTTTCCTTCTTTCCTTCCTTCCTTTTGACTTCTCCTTCTGAAAGAAGTGTTGAGGAGATTTGCTACCTGGAAAGAAAGAAAACCAAAGGTAGAGGGCTGGACCCAGAAGGAAACAAACTAGGTGGAATAGTGGATATGTCAGGGTAGGAAGGTTGTGGGTAATTTTTGGTGAAATTTTATGGGGAACTTTATATGCCATTTTTTATAATTACAAAATTAGAGAAAAAATTCATCTTGGTAATCTTGGTGCATACTTTTTAAAGAGAACAGTTACTTACTTTTCATGTAGAGTATGAGAACAAAGCTGTTTCAAACCTTACTGGAGCAAGGAGAGTTTTACATTCTTACTACTACTATTATTTTTATTTTATAACTTCACTTTGCCTGGTTTTAAAACTCTAGAGCCAGAAGAGACTTGACTTTGCTCAGTTTAGGTCTGCACTGTGCAGTGTGGTAACACTAGCCAAATGATTTAAATTGTTTAAATTAATTGAGTTTAGATAAGATGAGAAATTTACATATGTGGTCACCCAAGAACTCATTCATCACCTGTCACTAGTGGCTGCTGGATTGGACAACACTGATATAGACTACTTCCATCATCATAGAAAACTCTATACCCATCTTTATGGACTTCATTTTCTATTTGACTTTGATCAAGGGCATGTGTGTAAACTGCTGATCATTAAGGTCAATGATTAAGTTGAACTTTATTTCTTCATTTTCACTTTCCAGTGTTTGGAGCCGTGAGGGACATAGCAGTTTGGTCAATATTGTCTTAACATGCTTCAAATAAATCAGGTGAGTTTGCATTAAGGTATGCCATACTTATATGGTGCTTTGGCCATAAATTGTATACTATTTTAATTCTGCTGTTCTATTAACTATAACTTGAAACACCGCTTTGTAGAACAATTACATACCATATCTTTAACATAGGTGATTGTGCAAGGTAGGGAAAATTTACTAAGGATTATAGCGATAGCCTGGTTCATAATTTCTGAGGGTATGGAGCTGAAGGCTTGTTCTTGTTGATGTCACATTCTTGTGGACAAGTGGCTGTGTTCAGAGTGCAGGTGACAGTGTTACTTAGGCTTAGTAGGCGGCAGTACTGCAGGCTGAAAGCATTTCTATGAACAAATCTTACGAAGTAGTTGTATCAGTAGGTTAAAGAGTTTCATTTTCTAGGACACTGGAAACAGCTAGGAGCAAGGGCTCTGCTAAATGTAATACTGTAGCCTCACTGGAAGAAGTATTTCCTTAGGTGTTAGCATTTCTCCAAGAACTTTACATTGAAAAATTTATCTTTTTTGATCAAATAGGTTAGTATATCATAACTATAGTGCTAGAAAATAGTTCTACTTCTTTTGATTGCAAGCCAACAGAGAAGTAATTAATTTTCTCCTCTGTAATTATTTGTAATTATTTCTAATCTCACTCACTGTCTAAATATCTTCCAGTTCTTGTGTGTCACACACCATGGTTAAGCCAATGACTTCCGAGTTTATATTTGCTTTAAACCTTTTCTTCTGTGCTCTGGACTCATATAGCAGTTGTTAACTTACTCTCTTAACTTAGATAACATTATTCATCTCAGAATTAATGTATGCCCAAGAAAGAATTTAAATGCTTCCGTTAATACTGGACTATCTCAGTCCTGGATGGGGCCACCATCAGTCACTGTTGCTTCAGGGGCTTTACACAGGAGCTGACCTCTGCCTGGACCTCTCTTCTCCCTGGTGCTTGGCTCACTGCTCTAGAGAGCGGTCGTCAATTCCCAGCATAGTGAATGCCCTCAGAGCACTCTGCCCTTTTATTTCATGACATACAGCCAAAATGTATATTCATATGCAGCTACACTCAGATACATACTTGTCTCACATTCTGTCTCCCTTGCTAGACTGTAGGCTTCATGAAGCAGGAACTTTGCTTATTTTCTCTTAAATCTCCAGACCTTGTCTAGTTCTTCTATAAAATGAGTGAGTGAGTGAAAGGTGCTAGACTTAGCACTAAAGCAAGAAATCTAATTTTTTTTCACTAGTAAGCACTTAGTTCTGTTGTCAGTTTTGGCAGTGTTATGATGCTTGCTTTGCACAAATGCTGTTAATCTGAACTGTCTCTCATGCAAAGTTTTGACTTTTCTTATACTAGAAGTTTTTCTTGTATCACAAATATTGCTTTCATCAAAGACATTACTAATGTAGGTTTAAAGGAATCTTAAAACTACTGTGTTCAGTGCTTCTTGTAGCTTTTCAAGAAGTAGCTATCAAATCCTACTGAAAGTATCTATGGTGCTTATAACACTTGACTTGAAAACTATTAACGGCTTGGAAATTGCTGCTAAATGATTTTTTTAAATAAATACTTGCCATTAATTATATGGGTACAAGTAGGATACTTTTACTATTTTTTTTACCCTATGCAGGTGGAAATAAGCATATAGTTTATAGCCAATTTATTGAAAACTGTAGTTTATAGATTTATCATACTATAGATTTACTAACTAACTGTGTTAATGGGCCACATTGAATCAGGCATATAATTCCTAGGCAGCATTAAGCATGACCATAAGCAGTTCCCTGGCCTTTTCTAGACATTGCCTGGGTGTATATATATATATAGTTTGCTTATATTAGATAAGTATTCCTAGAATTAAATTTAAGGAATTTCAGGTGACTATAGGTTTCATCTCTTATGGAGAGTTCAAGGTAGATGTGAAATGGCATAAAAATATTATTTAAACTGATCCTACACTTGAGATTTACTGTGCAATATTCAACACAGTTATGCATTTCTAATGTTCATATGATACATTTTATGAAGTAGAACATTATGTGAACACCATATTATACAGGCAGTTCCTAGATTATCAATGGGTTCTGTTTTTAAATTTGTACATAAGTCAGAATCGTTTCATGCGGTTCCTATCTAGCATAAAAACATTAAAGAAACACTTTGTGTTACACTAAAACATAAAGTAATACAGTAATTGTTGTAATGTTTTGATGCATGTTACAAAGTAGTGCCCATTTATTATGATTTTTTTTTGGCCATTTATTATTTTGAGCCACGGTATGTACCTTGACTTTTTAATATAGCAGGCTTTACTGGGTGTGGGACCACGGTGCATGTGGTCAGACGTTATCAAAACAGACATGCAGCATATGATTGTACTATCTTTAGATTATTAGTTCTAAATTTTAATTTCAGAAGTTGTGTGATTTCTTACAATGCAGTATTAAAACATCCTTCCATCTATTAAAATGACTGGGCTATTGAGTAAGATTGATGCCATGATAGTCATAGTATTGGTGTGGAACATGGAGATGTTCCCTGTTCTGTTGATGATGCTGGCACGTCTGCTTTTAAGTTGTAATCCTCAGCTACCCATGTGCCATTCATGCTTATTTAAGTAGAAAAAGTAGATGTTTTTGATAAAGCAAAAAGAAAAAAATAAAATAATTCCACTATTTTTTTTACAGAGATAATCACTGCTAACATTTTGGGGTATATACTTCCAAATTTTTTTTACTATGCAGGTATGTTTTTGTGTGAATATATGTTATTAAAAAGAACTGGGATTATATAACACATAATTCTTTGAATGATTTTATCACCCGCTGTTTGGTAGTACTAAAATTTATTTAACCAACCCTTATTGTTGGACAGATTTTAATATTGTTGTTAACCACATTAAATGTTTTTAAAAATAATACATCTACCTACTAGGCCAAGGGCATGGAAATTAAAAAAATTTTTTTTGATGTGTAAATCCCCAAAGTGCTAAATTATATCATGCAGAAGTCTATGAGAATGCTTATTTCCTTACTTTCTTGAAAATTTTTCAATCTTTACCAATCTGTCTGACAAAAAAGTGGCATTTCTAAAATTTGCTTATACCTGATGCTCTTTTGTGTTTGTCTTTGGTATATTGTTTATTTGTGTTTCCTGTTATCATTTTCTTTGTATTTATAAATACAATTATTTTGATTATACCCTTTGGGAATTTTTAACCTAGTATTTATAGTCATTGATGTATATTTTTTCATTCATTAATTACCCAACAATTAACTAGTGGGAATCTACTAGTTTCCAGGGTATGACACTTGGTAGGACTTTGGTATTATTTTTGGTCTTTTCTCTCTGAGGATTAATTATGAGCAAGTAGGGAAAGGAAGCTTATTTTAACACTAAGCATTAGTAAATATGAATTCAGAACACGTGTACAATAAAATAATATTTTTAAATGATTAACTCGAATAGAGTCAATTTGAATTTATTTATTCTTTGGAAATAGCTGGTGAGGCCCACTTGGTAGGTGTTAGAAACTTGGAAAGCCCGACTGAAGTAGAGCAGGGGAGGGCAGGCTAAGTTATACCAAAATATTATAGTGTAAAATATGAAGCTACCACATTGTCATCAAGGGCAGCATTTGCCCAGGCCTGTAAAGCTCAGGAGGCAGGAATGGATAGGAAAGAAGGATGAATGGAAGCCGGGAACCTGGGAAGGAAGTGAGAAGAGGGCCATGCCATTATTGTTTTGGGGATTATGGTCAGTGTCATGAAAACAAAGTGTGTCTGAATGATTGGATGAAAAACCAGTTTGCTCTGTAAGCTTTCACTCAAATCACAAGGAAAAGTTGAAAAAATAAAGGCCTGGGGTTTGGGATGATGATCAGGATCTCACAGGTTTGTTTTGTGGAATAAAGATTATATTCTTCCCAGTTGTCCCAGCATTTTGTTTGTTTGTTTGTTTTTTATTTATTTATTTTTAAAAATCAATTTATTGGGGCTCATACAATTCATCACAATACATAGATCAATTGTGTACAGCACATCTATACATTTGTTGCCCTCATCATTCCCAAAATACCTTGCCTCGTGGGTCCGCGGAACAGCTCATTTTCCTTTCCCCCCCCCCAGTATTTTGTTAGCTGTTATTGACATTACTAATAATGTTGCCATTGCTCCCTGGCTCTGAATTGGTGGCAGCGCAAGGCAGACCTTTAGGCAGCCCATTGAGTGAAGTACTTGTTTGGGGTAGGGAACCACTGGGACACTTTCTTAAGCCCACACTGCTTGCCTTCTGGTGCTCTCCTCATTCTTGCTACAGTTACCATTTATTCTTGTATTTTAAAAGCTGCTTCTACTTATTTACCCTTATTTTCCCCCCATGAGTTTGATTGTGGAATAACATCTCCTCCTTTGTTTGCAACCATAAAATATAAAACTAAGGAGGGTAGATGTGTAAATGGCCTTTGCTTTCAGTGGAGTAGCAGAAACTGGATTTACTCACTTCATAGCCAGTGTAGAGATGGTCCCTAAAGATCCCTGCCGCCTGGTATGTACAGTTTTATGTAATCTATCCCCAGGCAGGTATCAGGGTTTGTCTCTATGAATAATAGACTAAGGCAGAAGTGATGAGAGCATTTCTGAAGATCAAAGTCAAACTCACTGCTGTTGAGGAGCTTCCAACTCCTGTAACACAGGTAGAATTGCCTCTGTGAGTTTCTGAAACGGTAACTCTTTAGGGGAGTCTTATCTTTCTCCTGCCAAGTGGTTGGCCAAGTTTTTGAATTACTGACTTAATGGTACCATAAACCCACAGATCCAAGCAGTTCAGTGAACCCCAAGCACTATAAATTTAAAGCAATCTAACAAAAGTGCACCATAATCAAATTGTATTTGTGATAAAGAAACCTTTAGAAAAAAGGCATGTTCACTTTAAGTGCAGATGAACTAAGATAAACATGACAATAACTTTCTTATCAGAAACCAGATAAGAAAATGACAATAATGTAGCATCCTTAATGAACTGAAAGGTAAAAACTGTTAACCTAGAATTTTATACCTGACAGAAATACCTTTCAAAGGCATAGATGAAATAACAATGTTTTCTGACACACAAATGTTGAAAGACTCTATCCCTAATTTGCCTCTACTATAAAAAAATTTAAAGAACATCCTTCAGATGGTAACTACTTGGGTAAATATATAATTTTTTTTCTTATGATTTCAATCTTTTAAAAAGATAACCTGAACGTTTTAAGCAAAAAATAATAGCATTAAGGTATTTATCACATACCACAACAAAGTGCGTGATAACAATAGTGCAAAGGCTGAGAGGGAGAAATGGAAGATTTCTATGTACTAAATGAGGTAATAGACTATCACTAGAATTTGGAAGGTAACATGCATGCTAGAGACTGTAACCCAAAACTCATAACCAAACTCACTGTCATTGAGTCAGTTCCGACTCATAGTGATGCTAAGGGCAAGGGAGAACCCCTGTGGGTTTCCAAGACTGTAACTCTTTACAGGAGAAGAAAGCCTTGTCTTTTTCCTGTGCATGGCTAGTGGTTTTGAACTGCCAACCTTTCACATGCATTGTTCTGAGTTTTTTGGGAGAAGCTTGAAAAGTCTCCTTCCTCTCTAAGCCTGGTGATTTGCTAATCAAATTGAAACTAATCTAATCACTACCTCTTAAAACCTAGCTTCCTACATCCCTTTAGCCCAAAGATCCCCTGTACCAACCTTATTTATAGTACTTACCACCTCTGTTTATTGTATTTATCTATTGTTTATGTGCTTCTTTCTTTCTTTTGAAAATAAACTTCTTGAGGGCAGGGGCAAGCAAAACGGAGTTACAGCATTTTGGTTAAAGGATTCAAGTGCTGGAGAATCAGGAAATTTTCTAAATGTATAGAAATAAACTGGTTAGAATATATCTATTTTGTTTTATATGCAGATAGTGTTGTTTAGTGTATATGTTATACCAATGTTTCTTCCCAAAGTTGTGGGGCGTTAAATGCAAACACATTATATATCACCCAAAGCAGAAGGAAATATCTTTATACATATAAAAAACCTTCAGTGTAATTCATGCCACACTTGGGAACAGTACAAACAAACATAGGGGGTTATAAGCCAGTGGAAAAGTAATAGCAAGTACATCCTTTTCACAGAATATTAAACAAGTATACCCATCTACTATGAATAAAATTAACTTATTCTAACAAGATATTTCAACCTAGAATATTTTAGTTTAGGAAACCATGAAAAACAATAATGAAAAAAAAAAAAAGAAAAACAATCATGTAGGTAAAACAACATCACTCTGTATTGATACTTGTTTGAACAAACAGTTGTTTACAGTCGGGATAATAATGAATTCTTAGGTATTGTTAACATTGTTGCAGCTTCTCATTCATTCATATAACCAGTCAGTGAGATAAAACAACTGTTCAATTTTACTGTTGATGAAGATGAGACAATTTTTTTCAAGGTATCATAATACATGAAAAGTGACAACAGATATGAGATTGGCTTGTAACCCTCACATAATTTTTACTGCCTCAAAATGGTGAGGTTTTAGCTTATGAAATTTATTGCCATTAGATTTATTTTACTTCTAAAATAGGTACCTCTGACTTTAGCTACAAAATGGAATTATTGCAAAATAAGGATTATCCTTAGATCACTTGATATAATAAAAGTAAATTAATAAACAGATACATTAAACTTATGCAACATTACATGTATATCTCAACTTTTACACTAATTTCAAAAAAGTTATATATAAATAAACTTACATATCTATTTTTTAAAATCAATTTATTGGGGCTCATACAATTCATCACAATACATAGATCAATTGTGTAAAGCACATCTATACATTTGTTGCCCTCATTATTCCCAAAATTCGCTTTCCTCTTGGGTTCCCGGAATCAGCTCATTTTCCTTTTTTCCCCCTCCCCTTCCCTTCCTCCTCCCCTCTCCCCCATGCACCCTTGATAATTTATAAATTATTATTGTATCTCTATTTTATAGACTAATTCATTTCATAATTTTACCTTATCAGAATTGTAGATTAATATTTATATTACTCCTATCATTGAGCCCTTACAAGTAGTTAATACTAAAAAGATTTCAGATTAACTAGAGGAACAGCTATTTAATGTTTTAACCATTTGAAAATTTAAAAAGTTAACATTATTGACTAGCTACTTTTTAATTAATCAACTTAAAACAGTTTGGATTTGGTTATCAAGCTATCAAAGTAGAATCTACAGGCATTTTACATACTCTTCAAACCAACACTTCAGTCATACTTTCAAGTGTTTTACAGGACTTATGTCACTTTTATCAAGTAGAATGTCAGCATTAATGGGATATGAGCTCTGTGCCATGTTAGCAATTTCCTTTAGATGATTTGATGTTTTCTTTACCAAATAAGTTCACATAGCTTTAAAAATTACAACTCTAAGTACATTTTAATGTATTTAAATAATTATTAAAATTTTTATATTATAAGAATTTCGTACTAAACCTATGCTAAGATTTTTTTGTATCACAATAGGTCAATATGCACTATTACTGAATTATGGAAATTACATAGCGCAAATGCCAAATATATGCTGTTTAGGGTCTTGCATATTTGTCTAATTTTTACCATATTTTAATATTTTCTTATTTTTAATAAATTTTTAGTCTGCTTTTGCTTTTTGATATTCAAGTAGCAGTGCTATCTGATATTTTATGCCAAGATATTACAAGAACAGTGGGTTACTCATTGGGCTGCTAAGAAGCACATTGTCAGCAGTTCAGACCCACCAGCAGTTCCAGGATAAAAATGTAGCTGGCTGCTCCAATAAAGATTTAGTCTCAGAAACCCTAGGGAGTACTTTTTCTCTGTCCTATGATTTGAAATTGCTACATTTTGATGGCTGTGGGTTAAGTTGGTATAGTCCCAGGTCAGCTTATTTTATGTGACTTCTGAATTGAATGGAACAATATATATAAAGTGCTTTTATAGTGATATAAAATGAAATAAGGTAAAATGCAGGCTTCTTCCAATCCTTGACTTAGTTTGTCTTTTACTTGTTCCCTAAAATACTAATTACTAGTTTTTTTTGTTGGGTGGGTGTGGGTGGCAGTTGTGTGGGGGCATGTTGGGGAGAGTGTGCAAACCACTAGGAATGGTTTATTTGTAGAATTAACTTCTAACTGTATTGATCTTAGACTTGGTTGCTTAGATTCTGTTTCTTATTATATCTTACAAAGTATTTATGTAGTTTTCTTACAAAATGGTTTCTTAATTATAATGATTATGATCAAGTCATTGCAATAAAATATTGGGCCTGCCAAGAGTATGAGAACGTTGAAAGATATAAATTAAGTTTTACCATTGAAAATTTATAGATATGTTCCAAAAGCTAGGTATGTATTCCCTTATTCATGTAATCCCCATACATTGTGAGTTTAGTTTAATTGAGCAAGAAGTTAATCACTTGCATATTCTGTGCTTAAATTACGTAAAACAAAACAAACTTTTTGCCATTGATTTATGGAAGAAAAAGTGAAAAATAGATAAATGTCTGTAAATAATGAGGGAAGCAATTCAGCATAATTTAACAAATTAAAAGACTCTGAAGCCACAATAAAAACTTATACTTTCTGGTAGTTTGAAAAACTCTACCATCCTCTACATTACCCATTAAATCTTTATTTTTTTACCCATTAAATCTTATCCTCACAACAACCCTGTAAATGAGGATATAGTCATTCCTTTCATCAAAGATAGACTAGAAAGCTTAGTAGATGTAAGTAAAGATTCCTTAAACCAATTTTGGGAAGGCTTTGTTTTAACAAGGCACAAAAAGCACAAAGCCGTGAAAAAAGGATTGATAATATAAATACATAATTATCCTTTTCAATAAAACTTTATATATTTAAAAAATTCCATAAAATAACCAATAGAAAAAAAGGGACAGTTTACAGAAAAGGCTAAATAACATGTCACAAGATTACTATTTTGTTTAATGCAAACTAAAATAATAGTGGAATGCCATTTTTCAGCCATCCTATTAATAGAAATTCTATGACCATGCTGTGTGCTTTCAAGGATGAGGGGAGATGGTAATGTTCCTGTTGCCAGGTGAAGGTGATTTGGTGTCATTCTTTTGAGAGTTATTTGGCAGTGTACTCTCTTAGAAGAGTAAAATTTATGAATAACCTCATTGTCTATCATTAGGGGACTAGGCAAACTGGTACAGTATGGAGGTGGAGAGCATGTAGCAGATAAAAGTTGTGACCTACATCTTTGTAAGTTAAAATCTCAAACAGGATGAAAAAATTTGAAAATGATGTGTTCATTGTAATACAATTTCTGTGAATACAAAACCATATATATCAAGACTAAATTTTCCTGGTTATATGTACATTCATATAAATTTATTTTAAAATATCATGGTGGTGTCCAGGGTTACGGGTTGGGCTGCTAGCCACAAAGTCAGCAGTTTGAAACTGCTCGCTATTCTGAGGGAGAAATGTGAGGCTTCCTGCTCCTGTAAAGCGTTACAGCCCTGGAAACCCACACCGGCAGTTCCACTCTGCTCTGTAAGCTCGCTATGAGTCAGAATCAACACCATGGCAGTGAGTTTGTTGTTTGTAGATATACTGTAAATTCATTTTGTGGTAGCTTATGGAAAAGATAAAGCGAACTTCATTGCTGTGTGATACTGGTTTTTAAGAAATAAGACAAAGCAACATGGGGAATTTTAATAGTTTTCAGTTCAAGTAGGTTATATGGGGATTGATTAAATGATTCTTTCTAGTTATTATTTTAGGATTTCTTAAAAAAACTAAGAAGGCAAAGAAAGTTTAATTTACTTATACCAAACCAGACTCACTGTCATCCAGTTAGTTCTGGCTCATAATGATGCCACATAGGGTATCCAAGATTGTCAATCTTTTTTTTTTTAACAAGTTTTATTGGCACTTAATCCACATATCACACAATTCAGTAGTTCAGTCAATTGTATAATTATTATGTAAATATTTATAATATCTGATAACCTCATCTTTTTCTTACAGAGTAGCTGGTGAGTTTGAACAACCGACCTTGTGTTTTGCAGTCCAACTCTTAGCAGACAGTGGCACTGGGGATCCAGGGTTACAAAAAATCAGCAATTGGAAGAGCTAGGACTCATATTTAGAGTTTGACTTGCACATCCAAAGCTTTTTTTCTGCTAACATGCTGCCTCAAAATTCAAAAGGGAAAAAAAACCCCAAAATCAAATAATTAAAAAAGCTTGATAGAATTTAATTTTGTTGTAAGAATAGTCAGGAAAATTCTGTCTTTATGGTGGAAGTTTTTGAGAGGACAGGAAACTATAGAATAAATATTAAGAACTTTTAAAAAATCTTAAAGCATGTGTGTGTGCATATACACACTATGTATATTAACTTAGGTACTTTGGAAAATAGTCCTAATGTCTTGCTTTATATGTGATGCATATTTTTACTTCATAGAATAGAAAATATTAGATGATTTAATTTTTTACACAACATCCATGACAATAATTTAATCCAAATATACAATGTGACTTCATTCTAAAAAAGTCAAAACTAGTTTTTCTCCATTTTATAAAGTCATTCTTTACAAAAACTTTACAGCCTTTTTATTTGCAGCTTCTCTCCAAGATAAAATGGCAAATCCCATAGAGAAAACTCCAATGTGTCTGGTAAATGAGTTAGCCCGTTTCCATAGAGTCCAACCTCAGTATAAACTTCTGAATGAAAGAGGGCCTGCTCACTCAAAGGTAAGGTTTTGACGAGAGGTGGTGAGACATACTTATCAACTCTATCATATGTATAATTTCAGGTTTTAATTGTGCCTTGTTTAGGTGGGTGTGGGGGGGAAGCAGTGGATGACATGAATGCTTTTAGTTTTATAGTAATTTTATTATCTTGGAGATTGTAACGTTAAATAATGTCGTAGCTTGTTTAGTTTACAAAACTCTTATTGGGTGGTATACTTTGTAAAACCTTAACAAAACCATATGAGATAAGGACTTTTCATTTCTATTTTATAAAAAAGAAAGTTGGACCCAGAAAAGTTAAGCAACATAGCACTTAGGGAATACATGTGTGTTCTTTGACTCTTTCCATTAAGTTGCAGCTGCTAAAATAAAGTGAGGGCAGAGTCCAAGTAACAGACTTCATCTAGTGAGACATTCTTTTCCCGTGTAGCACTTACTTTTCTGATTAATTATTTATGAAACTGGAGGGTATCCTTGTTATTCTCCATACATTGACATATGATATTGTTCTTTTTTTAATGGAAAAGCAAATCGTATTTTCATATTGCCATACACATGTTACATGCATATTTACTACAATGAAGTGCAACTAGTACATTGTCTCTAGTTCTGCTCATTTGCTTGAGTATCTCAGTTGTCCATAGTTTGTCTTGGAGAATTTTTATTATCTTGGGAGTTGGAAGTATGATAATCATAAATGATAACGTCGTCTGTGGAAGCAGTTGATTCTCCATTGGTGGTACAGTATTTTGCTCTTCTGAATTTTGTTTGGCATTTGCCCTCTCTGCTCTGTAGAATCGGTTTTGACTCCTAGTGGGCTGTAGCAGAATGGAGTGGTACCTTGTCCTGAGCATCCTCACAATCCTTGCTATGTTTAATTCTCTAAGTGTTGGTTAATCCAGATTAATTCTTCTTCACAAAACATTTGGCTTTCCTGTTGTTTTAGTGGCACCTCCCTCAAAATAAGGAAAAGAAGATCAAACTAACATTTTATTCAATTTTTTTCCCCTATTAGACGCTTTTATGAGAGATTTATGGACAACAATTTCATTTGGTGATGATAGTGCTTGTTCTTTCTTAAGTTAGCAGAGGAAACAGCATGGCCGTGTCTGCTTGTCCAGCTATTTATTCTGAGTTTTTCATATCTATTCTTCCCGTAATCATGTTGAACTGATTGCATTTCTCTATATTTTTAGTATTCTTTTCACATCTCTGCCTTTGCCTATGTGGTAGTGATCTCTTGTCCTTGAAGGTCCTTTTGACCTGATGTATTTTTGAACATTCAGCTCCTGTATTACCCCACTTTCCAAAGCTATGCGAAATCTCTGATTTTTCCACTGGGGCTCCAGCGGGACCTGCCTTTCTTAATTTCATTCCTTATACTTATATGTTTGTTAGTCATTATTCTTGTGATAGATTGACCTCATTTTAGGGTATGTATTTTGCTGCTCTGTGATTTCTCTTTCCTCTGCCCTCCATGCTTCTCGTTGCCAATTCCAGGTACTCTTCATTGATATAATCCCTCACCTTTGCATTTCATGTCATCAGACCGATCACCATGGCCCTTTAGTGTCCTCTGGGAGATTCTTCCTTGTTTATCCTGGCTCATTTTCATGTGCTCCAACACTCCTGCTAATTTATGGTGATTTCAGAGCCTATATAGATGATTGTACTAGCTTTTAGTTACTTGAATTTCTCCAATGATCGTGCCCTTCATCTCCTTTTAGCTACTCATTACTGTGACCTTAACATTACCAATAACTGAGACCCTCCATAATTTTATTTTCAAGTGTGCCTCTCTCTTATACTCACCTAACTTTCTAGTTCATCCCCTTTAATAGTTTGATTTCAGCAGTCCTTTTACATCGCTGGAACTTAAAACCTGTTGATTAGATTTTTCATGTCTCTTACTCTTCATGTAACTCCTTACCAATAAACTCACTGTGTTGAGTCTTTTCGAACTCAGTGACCCTATTGGGCAGAGTAGACCTTTCTCTAGGGTTTCTGGCACTGTAACTCTTTGCAGAAACAGACAACCTCATCTCTTTCCCATGGAGTTGGCTGTGCCAAACACTTAACTCACTGCATTATCCTGCTTAAAGTTCATATACCTTTGCATGTACCCTTGATCTCTTACTCGTTTTGATTCTGAGTACATTTGATAAAATTCCAACCCCAAATCCGAACTGTTCCTTCCCTTCTGAATTACAGAGTAACTGCTTGTAGAGGCCAACTCTTTTAGTGTGTACCAGGGTCTTTCATCTACTCAAAGACATTCTTCCACGTTAGTTCTGCTGTGATGTGCCCAGCTCTGTCTCCCCATCCTTTGCCTTGTCCTGTTTTCTCCCTTTCACTGTTCCCTTACTGTCCCCTCCCCTTTTCTTATTTTATTAGTTTCTTCCGCAAGAGGTCATTTTTTTTTTCTTTTTTAATTAAAAGATCATTTTATTAGGGGCTCTTACAACTTATAACAATCCATACCTCAATTGTATCAAGCATATTTGTACATATGTTGCCATCACTTTTTTTGGCCATCATTCTTTTCTTTCTTTCTTTTTTT